GACTGCCCCAGCCCACAGGGACTCGGCACGTCACCGGTGTCCAGGCTGAGCACTGGATGAAAGGAGGGACCCAGCCGCCTCTGTGCACACACGGAGATGGGATGCTCTCCTCCCACTGTCCCCTGCCACACGTGTGTTCAGCTCAAAGCTTCCTTTTGGCCTCTTCTCTGGACCTTCCTGGCCACCGACCTCACCCCACCTCCCTACCCCTCCACCCCTCCACCCCTAGGAGACTTCTTACTGTGCCTGCAGGAGTGAAGCTCACAGAGTACCCAGGCTGAGCCCCTCTCCTTGCCACCCCCAGGGACCCCGCCTCCCGGTGCCAGGGCAGGCAGCAGGGCTCAGGCTCCTCCGACCCCAGCTGCCACCTCCACGCCCCCCGCGCCAGCACACAGGCGGCTCATTCACGTGGCGCTCCCAAGGCCTGGCACAGGTTCTGAGGCTTAAAATAGGCACACAACGGGCCTTTGTTGGACAGAGGAAGGAAGGAAGGAACGTTTCAGACAAAGGAGACAGCAACGGCGGCGTCCAGGAAACCCGGGGGGCAGTGGGGAGCTGGATGGGGTGACTGGGTGGGGGGGCCTCGGAAGGGTCTGGTGGGGCCAACTCGTGCAGGGCCACAGAGGCCACGTGAGGACCTGCGATTCTGGCACGGACGATGAGCTGCTGGAGGTGGCAGGGAAGTCACCACCTGATTGGCGATTTAGGGAGCTTATTGGGGCCTTGAGGGGTCCACCCACTGGAGTGACAGAGATTGGAGGCTGCTCTTAGCTCAAGCGGGAGCACTGGGGTGGGAAAGAAAGCAGACAGAATTGAGGCAACAACACCCCTCAATGAACACCCCAAGCTTCAGTCTAGTGGGCCACCTGTGCCCAGGAAAAGCCATTTACACAGCAGCCGTATGCTTCAACGCCAAAGGTGGACATACCCAAATCCCATCCACAAATGAATGGACACACACAGCATGGTCCATCCACGCAATGGAACATCACTCAGCCAGGAAAAGGGACAAGGCTCTGACACAGGCCACAGCGTGGAGAGACCCTGAGGACATCGTGCTCAGTGAGAGATGCCAGACACAGAAGGACACACAGTGTGAGACTCCATTTATACGAAACGTCCAGAACAGGCAGATCCACAGAGACAGGGCATAGCTTTGTGGGTGCCAGGGGCTGGGAAGTGGGTGGAGGGCGACTGCTGATGAGGACAAAGGATCTTATTGAGGTGGTGGAAAGTTCTAAAAGGGGTTTAGGGAGATGGTTGCACAACTCAATAAACTTATTAATAAAAAACCGAATGGTAGGCTTAAAAGAGTTGAATTTTACGATATGTAAATTGTAGCCTCCATTTAAAACAATAAAAAGCAAAAAGACTTTCCTCTCTTGCAAGGTTCTCGGGAAGAACCAGCAACCGTTTCTGGAAGAGTCTTGGAGCGGCCCCCAAGCCCACCAGTGGCAAGACCAGGTGAGAGGTGAGGACCCACACAGCGACACGGAGAGAAGGTGGCCCTCCCACGTCAGAGAACAGGTGAGAAGGACGGGTGTGACATGCTGGGGGCCAGTGTGCCACAGAGAACAAGTCACCCCATGTCCTTCGCTCTCACGTCAGGTCTGCAGCGCCGGGTCTCCTGGGTGACACAGACCGCGAACGTTCTTCCCTAATCCTTAACGGACACAAGCCAGGCCAAAGGGTGCAGCAGCAAGAGGCAGTGACAAGTGAGGTCGACAAATGTCAAAATCGACAACGCTGCTCGGAGGGAGGCGCCCTGACACAGCCAAGGACGTGGCCGCGTTGCACGAGTCCCCGTGAAAGGACGCGAGCGTGTGGCAGAGCTGAGACAAACCTTCCCAGACACAGAAACCCAGCTCGGACAGTCACCCCCACGGCTGCCCGTGTCATTTGAGACACAGCAGGCTGCATGGGACACAGTAAGGGGACAAGAAGGCTGTGCCACCCTGATCTGTCACACAGCTGCCATAGTAACCGGCCTCCCCGGAAAGCACCAGAAAGTTCCAAAGCCACAGAGGCCAGGCACGACCTTTTTGGAAGGAATCGCCCTGAATCTTCAAAACTACAAACGACTTAGTTCATGCGATTTTAAAGACCATCCCTGTCTGCAGATGCAAATGAGAAAAATCTGCAGTAACACCTTGAATGGGGAGAAAAAGGAGTTTTTCACACTGCGACATGGCGTACGAGAAAAATACCTCCATTCGGTGAACACGACGCCGCGTTGTCTACGTGTGAGGACGGTTCGTGTTTACCTGTCTTTCCCCACACGGCAGGGCCCCAGGGTTTATTAAGTATGAAACAAGAACAGAAAATAAAGGCGTCGGTCAAAGCATATGTTCTCAATAAAGCTCCTCTGTGACCAGGGCTCACCTGAGGAACTCATTCAAGCCACTTTCGGAACCTCACGCTCGACGTTAAAACCGAGGAAGCAACTCACCAACTCGCCACCTTCCAGCGCCTGTGACTGGGAAGGGCGGCCAGCCCACATTCGAAATGCATGTGCAGTGTTCAGAAGTCACACAAAATCCCCACCCAGAAATAAGTCAGCATTTCCAATATTCTCTAAAAGCAGTGATTTTTTTTTTTTTCTCCCCTCTCAAAACAAGAGCACTAAATAATTTAAAGGACAATCCCCAGTTCGGAATGGCCAACAGTTCCTAAGGCTCAAAGGTGAGAGGAGGGGGTCTTTAAATGAGAAAATAAATCAGTTTTTTCTATAACAATGGTTTTCAAACGGAGTGATTCTGCCCCTACAGGACACTGGGCGATGGCTGGGGACATTTGTGGCTGTCACGACTGATGGGTGCTCCTGGTGCGGGGTGGGTGGAGGCCGGGGACACTGCTCAGCACCCTGCAGTGCCCCGGACACCCTCGCCCCAGAAAACGACCCCACCCCAGTGTGCACAGTGCCTGGGGGGGAGAGACCCGAACGCGTCACATAAAGTCAAGTTGTAAAGCTCATAAATTTAAAGAGCATAAATCAGGGCTCGCTGGTTCCTTACGGGGCACACATCGGAACGGTTCCTTAGAGGGGACACCTAGGTCCCAATGACTCAAGCAACCTTCTCTCAAGCACATGCACTTGTCCCTTGACAAGCCTTCAGAATCTCCTGGTGCCAGGTCCAGACAGATTCTACTTCCTTTTGAGTTTTTTTCTCACTTTTACTAATATGGAGACTTTTTTCTTTTTTTTTTTTTTGCAGATTGTCTTTTAAAGCTCCTAGGGTGACTCTTATGCGCACCCCAATGACTAGAGTTAAGTGCCAACTGCTTTCTTTCCTTGCCTCTATGCCAACCCAGTCATTCTACTCCCCCACCGCCACCCCAGCACCCCAAGAGAAGACTCCATTTAGAACGTTATCCTCGATGCTTCAGGAACCTTCAGGGTGTGCCAGGAAGTCTGGGGCAGGGATTCCCCCGTCGGATGTTGCGAGGACCCTACGAGGCACATGCTGCTGTATTTATGATACCCGCTTTTCCGGGGGGCAAACAACACCTCCGAGAGGTGACACTGCCAAGTTGGCAGCTCGAGGCAAGATCTGAACACTGGGCCCATCTCCCTGAGCCCCTCAACGCCCCATCTCTGCGAGACCAGACCGCAGCCCCTGACGGGCGCGAGTGTGTGAACCTGGCGCTTGCCTGGCTGACACCTAGCAACAGTTTCAAGACTCCTCCCTGGGGACCTGCTGCTTTTCTGCTGTCAAGCCTGTCTTCCACCGCCCACCTCCCAGCCCCTAGCAACCCCCGCTACCCAGGAAAAATAAAGTGCCACCCACGCCCCTCAATATCATCGTCCCAAAAACTCCCACTTCAGTTCCTGAAAAATTCAGTCACCAACATGAGCCTTTCTGCTTCCTAAGACATCTCCTTTGCACCCTATATCCTAGAAATAGACCTCGGAAAGTATTTTGAACTCCCATCTCCTGCTGCTGCCTGCTCCCCAGGGACTTCTGCCCGGTGCCCTTTTCTGTGACAAATGATTAGTCCCCCCAAAAAGTACAGGGGGTGATTCCAAATTCCTTATAACTGAATCCTACCCGAGACCCCCCCATTACCTCCTGAATAATCAACCTCTAGCAAAACACCTGCCCCTGGCGTCTCTCGGCCCTTACCCCACACCCTTCTCACCACCCCGCCCTAATGTCCTCCCCCACCCCGTGCACTTCAAGCTCTCCATTTCTTCCCATACCCCCGGGACCCCTTCTGGGACAAGCCTGACTGCCACCTCCACCCCCAGCCCCTTCCTGGCCAGCCCCTGACTTTGTCCCTCTGGCCCTTCCCCAGATGACCCTAACCACAGGGTCCCTCCATCCCCCTTCTCAACAAGCTGCACCCCTCAGCCCCCTCCCCAGCTAAGCCCAGCCCCTAACTCTGTCTGCAGCCCCCTCCCCAGGGGACCACACTTCCAACTCCATCCCCGACCCCCTCCCTGGCTACCCACGACCCTCAACTCCACTCCCAAGTCCCTCCTCAAATAACCTCCACCCTCCACTCAACCCCAGCCTCCTCCCCAACTAACTCAGACCTCCAACTCCGCCCTCAGACCCCTCCCCAGCCAACCTCGGCCTACAACTGTAGCCCCCTCCCCAGCTAACCTGGACCCCAACTCCATCCTCCTCCCCAGCTAACTTCGACCTACAACTGCAGACCCCTCCCCAGCTAACCTCGGTCCCCAAGTTCAGCCCCCTCCCCAGCTAACCTCAACTACAACTGCAGCCTCCTCCCCAGCTAACCTCGACCTACAACTGCAGCCCCTTCCCCAGCTAACCTCGACCGACAACTGCAGCCCCCTCCCCAGCTAACCTGGCCCCCAACTCCAGCCCCAGCCCGTAACTGCAGCCCGGGTCCCCAGCCCCAGCCCCCTCCTCAGCTGACCCCCGACCCTCAACTCGTCCGCAGAGTCAGAGCTGTCCCAGCCACCTCCCGGGCCGCCGGCGCCGCCCTCAGCCCCCGGTCTCGCTCCCCGGCCCGAATCGCGGCGCCCTTACCTGCAATCCGGCCCCGCGGCCGCCTCAGCCCCGCCGCGCAGCCGAACCCGCCGCCCCGGCCCGCGAGCGCTCGCTCCTCTCTGGGGGGCGGGGCCTGCGCGCGGGGGGCGGGCCCTGGCGTCCCAGTGCGACCAATCGCGGGCCCGGACAGCAGGAGGCCGGCGCCGGGGGCGGGGCGCGGGGCAGGCAGCGGGGTAGGCTGCGCCCAGGAGAGCGGGACGGGGCTCCGCGCGCGGGCAGGGCCGGGGGGCGGAGCGCTGAGTGGCACCGCCGCGGGCCACTCGCGAGCCGGAGAGCGCACAGCGGGGGTGGGGCAATGCTAATATGCAAATCGGCCCGGTGCGGGAGACTCGGGGGCGGGCCGAGGAGCGGCTTTCCTGGGGCGACTTCATGACGTCAAGGAGGCGCGAGGCATTTCTCGAGTTCGAATCCCGGGCCTAGGGGCAGCGGGTTCGAAACCAGGATCCTAACTCCGGGGGCTCATTTTCGGGGGAAGAATGTCAGTAATAATAACAGCGGCTCCGCTTTCCTGAAACACTTCATGGGCTCCCTCTCGTGGAACCCTCTGTATAAAGCAAGGAGGCGAGATAATGATGAACCCCATTTTACAGAGGTGGAAACCGAGTCTCTGGGAGGTGAAACCCAAGGTCATTCGCCTAAGCCCATCTCCTAATTGCCAGGGTTTCACAATTGCCTAACTCGTGGGCCTGGATCTTAAAATGCAGATTCCTGGGCCCCTACCCAGATGGAATGAACCAGAATCTTGCGGGGGAACTGGATGCTGGAATCTGCATTTTTGGCAAGCTTCCCTGGTGATGCTGGGAAACATTTGGTATGTCTCCAAAAGCAGCAAGGGGTCCCGAAAGGAAGCCCTTCCTATATGGGAGGATGCAGCCGCCATATTCTGTGAACTCAGGGACTTTAGCCAATGCTGACACTCCGTGTCCCCCACCACCACCTGGGCCCTGTGATCGGGGCTGCTGGCCTCCCAGCTCGGCTCCCCCAGGGCTCCTGTCATCCCTGCAGGAAACTCCCTGCTCATCTCAGCCTCCAGCGGCTTCCCCTGCAGCGCACAGAGAAACCAGGCCCTGGGGCGGCAGCTCTCTCTCCCTATCTGCCCACCCCTGGATCTCCCCAGCCCACATTCCCCAAGAGGAATGACTGTCTAAATAGGGGTTGCAAACTGGTGGCGCCTCCATGCTAGATGTGTCAAAAAAAAAAA